ATCCTTAATGTCGCATCTGCAAAGTCAGAACCCACCAAGATTTTTTTACTCCCGAAATCTTCTACATTAACATGCATTCCTGGACCCACGCACCAGCCAGCATGAACCGGAGACACTCATTAAACCGCTAGACACAAACACCCAAGACCACAGCTAAACCCTAAACCACCCTCCAAGGCGCTCGGCTTTGCTGACAACTGGTGCTTTGGATGCGGCCGACTGCGCCGCTTACGCCTCCAGCGAGGCGCGTGCTTCCCAGGAATCTGCCTGACACGACTAGGATCACCCACTCAAAAAACACAAGGTCCATGTCCGGGTTCCGGGCCTCTCAACTTTGGATGCGAAGCCCCAGCTCCTGCTACTGTTGCTGCTGCTACGGCTGCTACAACCACTACTATGAAGACGACCACCAGCACCACTATCGCACAGTTTCTACCCCGAATCACCGACGCTGTGTGTACTCCCTTCGAGCCTCCAGTCCTCATTTTGGGAGGCGGCGACCGCCTTTGCGCTTAGTGCCACGGGCGACTGCCGGGGGCTGGGTGTCGAGAAGACCTGGGTATAGCGGATGTGACGAATAATGTTTGGATAATTGCCTTGGGGCTCCGGATTTAGAGTTTGCGAAGGCTTTAGCTTCTGAATTTCTGCTTTCCTGTGCACACAGATTCGTGTCAGGGCTGCTTGCTCCTGGGTGGAATTTGCATTGTTGACATCTTTGTGACTTTGTTTGTGGCCTCCCTCTCGTTGTAGCACATTGGTCAATACCGGTAGCATGCTTCACTATGACACTATGAATTTGTTTAGAGTCTCCCTGTTGTTGTAGCAGATGGAATACCGGGAGTACCAGGCCGTACTCCTTTTTGGGAGGTGGTGTGACCATGTCTAGGATTCGACTTGCAAGGAAATGGGAAGTGTGCCTTTCCAAGCGGCGCACCACATTAACCACGAATGCTTCAACATCTGCTGAAGTGTTGGCGAGGTACAGTAGGCGAGTCGCCAGTTGCTCCAAGCGGGTTGAAAGCACGCCAAGCCCTTCACAGCCTCTAGACTGTCGAGAAACCTCACGTCATACTGTGAAATGCGGACAATTTTCCGATTACTTCGAAAGGCTACAGCTACACCATGACCATCACTGATGCGGTACCTCACTCAGACACGGCGCCCGAAAGCGCCAGGGAGTCGGAGTCGGTGACACAAGCAAGTTGACACCGTGTGGTCGGACTCTAGTTATGCCCAGGTTATTCCGGGCATGTGTTGGCGTGGCAATTGCAATAACCATTTTCAGGCTTACCGCCTTGTAAGGGGAACCAGTGCGCTGGAGCTCCACGAGATGAGATCCGGATCATGAACCCGATCCTATGAGAATAGAAACTTGTAGAGCATTCCCTGATTCAGTTTCCTCAGAAGATGGGAAGATTCACGTGCGACTTCACTGGCCCAGTGGATCTAGAATCCGGAAGCAGATTGGCGCCTTCCGGAATGCGGTTTGTAAGATGCCACTGCTCGTGTTCGTGCTCGCATGTTCTTACGGTACTTTCGCCTTTTGAGAGGGGTCACTGAGAAGGATAGGCGCAATCAAGGCCTTAAGGAATTACCAATACCAATTTGGGGCTCCTGAGTAAAATTATACTATGCCTTGTACCCCCAACCTCTATTCTACCCAAAACGACTATAGGTCGACTTCCATCCCAAGCCTGCGGAGGAAGTTAAACCCGGTGGACCGTGGCAGTGATACACTAGCTCCGAGTGCTGGGTTAAAGGTATAGGGCTTTGGGTGTAGGGCTTAGGGTTTAAAGGTTTAAGGTTCCAAAATCGGCTTGCTCTTCTAGTCCTGCCTCCCCAACCCCACATCTGACAACAGAAGATGCCAGCACAGCAGCAGATCACATTCGCGAACTTGCAAGATCTTGCAAGTGGCACTTGCATTCTTGAAGGTCAGAGGCTTCAAGGATAGACTATTAGCAACACCTACCCGAAGCCTTGAGCCCTAAAACCGTGCGGCCTGGATCGAAGACTTGAAGCCCGCAAGCCTGAACGGCAGCTCTCTGAAGACAAGGCCTATGCTGACTTTCAGCGTGATGGTCTTCAGAGTGCTTGCACAGAAGGGTGCGGCCATCGGAGCGCATGCGTCTGCTTCAGAGCTTCTCAGCAACTGCTTTCATAATAATGATATAGAAATGACAATAATCGTAGGAAAGATGACAATAGTAATAAACATAGTCTCTACCGTCGGCCAGATATCCAAATAATCAGACCTGTGTCACGTTCTGAACTGCTGTAAAAATGTCTGGATCTTTTCGCGATGTGATGCTTGATCTGGTTGGACTTGTTGGGAGGCGGGCGTCTTCAGTGGTAGAGCTCTATCAGAATCTCACGTAATGTGGAGCCGTCAGATTCAGCTATAATTTGCCAGATGCATCAGATCCTGGCTGCAGGAGACCTCCAGCAGAACTGCCAAAATTGCTCCACATGTGATCATCCGTAACGATTTCGTGGCGCATTCCAGGTACAGATACTGGGTCGACCTCCCAGATCACGAGTTCTATGTGATGCAGCCTTCGTCGTGCTCTCAGACCTCAGGCTTTGCATATTTTCAGTTCATATCTCGGGCGTCAGAGCCAGTTACGGTACTAGACTCTTACCAGTAGCTGTCTCAGCTCTGCCCGCCCGACCGCAGCTTCCTGAATTCCGCAAGTCCGGTATCCGCAATCTTCAACCTGCAGGCCCCATACTATAGGGGCGTAAATAATTACCTATACCATTAAGGGGGTTCCTTATTATAATTATAGTATAATGGGCCCCAAAACCCTAGTGTTACAGACTCAGTCTCTGGGTTTGGCATCCTCGCCTTGTGGCAGACCTTGAGTCCCCAAGATCTCAGGCTTTCAAAACCCTAAGCCACCGAAGCCCTAAGCCCTAAACTCTAGACCCTGAATCCCTATAAGCCTTGAGCTTTACACCCTATAGAGCCCACAGCCTAAAGCCCGAAGCCCTAAAGCCTCACCACCAGCCCCAGGTGGCCCGATTTCAGTATAAAGATAGGGTCATCAGGGTTTTAGTGTCCAGCGAATGTCTTTGAGGTTACCGATTTAGTGTTTAGGTTGTAGAAGAAGTTTGTTTTTGCGGGTTTAGGTTGTAAAGTCGTCGAAGAAATTGACGAGCTTTTCTAACCCTGGCATTTTATCGCAGTCGCGGAGGGTTTACATCCGCCAGTGTACCCAAGACAGTTCCAGTAGCCCGTGGCAAAACATACGCAAGCGACAAGCGTATGCATCCATCCATTCATCCACCCAGCCATCCATCCGTCCAGCAAGCCAGCCATCCATCCATGCATCCCGCCAGCCACCCACCCACGAATTGTGATTTAGAGGGACCGTCCTAAATGGGGATGGTAAATGGAGTTTGCTACTAAGGGTTCTTGAGGATTCTTGGCAAATTCTATTTGCTATCCCCAGCTAGGGGGTTCCACCCGCCCGCCCGCCCGCCCGCC